TGGCCTTTAGGCCTGTGTCCCAGCTGCCTCCCCTGCCTGTATTGCTGATGGCTTCAGAACCTGGGATCCCTGGCAGCCTGCAAGACATGCAGGTACAGGAGGGACAACGTGTGAACTCTCTGCAGTGAGGAATTCTTAGAACTTGGGAACTAGATATACATTTTAAGTGAGTCCTAAAGCCTCACCTCCCTCCATTTGGAAAAGCAGAAAAGTTCATTCCTAGGAGAGTGGATAGTTGAAAACCAGGGTCCTGAACTATAACATACACACGAGATCTGTGCATTGCCCTGTTTGTACAAGGTCAACACACAGGATCGGTTGGAGTTCCTGTGAAAGCAGAATTGTGAAGTCAGGGAAATGTGCCCTTGGTTCTCACCTGCTTCTGTTTTTAGGGCCCCTCTCCTTTTGTCTAGAGCCCCTCTGCCACCTCATTTAAGGTTCCATCTCTGGGTCATGCTCATAAAGATCCTATTGAGCTGTTTATCCAGGATACACTAATTCCAGGAGGGATTACAGGAAAAAAAAATTTATAACAGTTATCTCTTATGTGAAAAACTGTTAGGGGTCAAGGGGACTGAGTGTCTAATAGCAAAAAAATTAAAAAGTGGGGGGTGGTAGAGAGGGTGGGAGAGGGGAATTTGGGAGCAAGGCAGGAAGCAGTGAGGTCTTATAAGGCACAGATCTTTACTTGAGATCCTTGCTCTATGGTCATACCACCCAGGAACAGCAGGAAGGCACCAGAGTCCTTAGGCAGAACCCTGAGAGAGTGTTCAGGCCTCTGAGTTTTGTGTGGGCAAAGACACCCACAGGGCCCTCTGAGTGTGTGGTGGATGGGTACCTGTGGGCTGTGTCTGTGCAGCACTCTGTGGTCATCCTGGTGGTGCCTTTTTATGGGAGTGTTTATATAGAAGCTGCAGGTGTGATTCTCATTAGCCTCTGTGACTTTTTACAACTATTTGTGACTGTGACTGCCACAACTTTAAATCCACACCTTTCATCTGTTCTGTGCTTTATATAAAAACATTTGGGTAATATGTGCAATAGAGTATACTCATTTATGGCTTTAAAAAATCCATCATGAGGGCTGGGGTTGTGGCTCAGCAGTAGAGCGCTCGCCTTGCATGTGTAAGACCCTGGGTTCAATCCTCAGCATCACATAAAAATAAATAAGTGAAATAAAGGTGTTGTGTCCAACTACAACTAAAAAATAAATACTTAAAAAAAATCCATCACGTATGTAGTACTCTACAAAGCATTTTCCTATTATCTTTTTTGACTCTCTCTTTTGCACTAAGGTTTAAATAGGGTAAATTGTTTCCCCCATTTTATAGATGAGGTTCAGATCAATGATAAAATTTGTCAACATTTATGCAGCAGCCTGTACTGATCTGAATTTGTACTTTATTTCAGAATTGACTGGACACCTTATTTCCCAGACATAACAAGGTTCACCTGCACAGACGGTGCTGGTGCCCTACAGGGCACAAGCTCTTATGGATGGGTCACAGCAGGGAACACATTGGGCACCATCCCAGCTGATACTGAGCTGTGCATATGTAGGCAAAGGAAGTCCACTGGCTATCTTTTGTCCTCTTAGTTCATCAAAGCTGAATATCAACATTTATAAAACCAATGTAATTTGTAATTAAAGAGAGTATAAAATACTAGCCATAGATACTAAGGTAGTTTAAAAGTTAAAAATGTAAATCAGATGCTATCATTAAAGTTAGCAAATAAAGATCTTTACTTAATATGTTTGCTCTATGAAAGAGTTTATGCTTCATTAAAAAAAGAACAATAATAACCTTTTAGCTATCCCCATCTTTAAAAGAAAAAGGAAGAAAATGTTTGCTTATTTTCCTAATTTGCATTTAAATAGATTCCTTTAACATTCACTATTTATTAAAAACCACGCTTGTATATATTTTTACTGAATTTTAGCCAGCATAAGAAAATTACTTAGCTTAGTTAAAAATAAAGCATAAAAAAAATCTCAAGTAGTTCACATATAACATCTGTCTTCTTAATGAGACAAAACTATGTTGGTTTCAGACAAAAAGATTCAATTTCATTTTTTAGACATGAACTTTTCTCTTGAAGAAATTTTTTGGTTATATTTCAACATTTGTAGCATCTCAAAAAAGAGAAATATATCCAAAAAATTGAAAACACTATGAAGAATTATTTTAGATTTGAATTTTTCTTTCCAACTTTGGGTCAGCCTAGTTCAAGGTCTTCCAGTGAGCCAAATTCAAATAGATTAAACCATCAAGTATCCCAACTGGAGGGAGCTTAGAAAGGGTCCAATTCTCTGTAAATTAGCAACCATAGAGCCTATGCCCAACTCTCCTGCTCATTCATTCATCCTTTCAGTAAGTATATGTTAAAAAAAAATGGAGCTGTTTGAATTGGCTGCCCCGGAATCCTGTAGCTCTTCCTGATGGGGTAGCAGCAGAGGCTGCAGTGACACAGATTGGTGAGTGCATGGCCCCAGGTGAGGAAGAAGGCTTTCCTTGACTGAAGCACCACAGTCCTTCCACAGCTGCTTGGGAGGGTAACTGACTCTGACTCGTGGAGCCCAGTCAGAAGAGGTCTTTAACAGCCCCATGAGCAGGAAGCCGGACAGTCCCAAGAGCCTGGCTCACAGACACTCTGTGATTGTGGCACTGGGTAGAATGAATGAATCGTAGGCTCTGGCTTCTTGTCTCTGAACCTCTTTCCCTGTCTGTGAAGAGGGCATGATAATACCTGTGGGGGAGCTGTTTTGAGCATACATGTGAATGGACATTTTGAACTTAAAAGCACTCAACAAATGTCAGGGCAAAGACTAACAAGGTACTTTCTCTTGCTATAAAACGAAGCCAGTTTTCTCACTGACATTTTTCCCCCCAAAATTGGAAATGTTGTAAGTTACAGCAAGAAACATACTTTCTGATCTAGGAGACTCAATAAAACTTTTTTATTTTGAATGGAAAAAAAAAAAAAAAAACAACCCACACATCCATAGGTTTCCCAACTAAACCTATTGTATGCCAGGGTACTCACTATCCCTTGCAAACCAGGAACAGCCCAGAAATGAAATGACTTGCCCATGCTGTCATGGGGAATTGGTGACAGAGCCAGGCCTGGAATCAGTCTATTTCTCATCTCACTTGACTGCACACACACATACATGCACACATGTGTCTCTGTAGCCTGTTCCATTGAATGCAGAAATGACAGTGACCCTTGTGGACAGCGGGTCTCCCAAGGATGGGAATTATATACAAGTAGGTAGCAAGTGTAAATCCAGAGAAGTCTTATAGTTGTCCCTTAGGAAGCAGTCATCTTGAAGAAACCCTGATCCTGATATTGTATCACAGGATATCAGTCCCCAAAGCAGGTCTTTTCCTCTCTGCTTGAATCATGTACCACTTTTTTAATAGCATTACCTCCTGAACAGACAACTTTGTCAGAATGTCTGGCTACCAGTGAGCAAACTCGTGTGCTCCAAAGTAGAACATGGAACCAGGTGGGATGGGATGGGTGCAGACCTCTTTCTGTAAGGAGCTAATGCAGTGAGGTGTATGGTTTCCACTCCACTCTCTCCTGTCGTTGAGTTCATTTTGCATAGCCTTCCACCCCACTTGGCCTGTGTCCAGCCCTCCTTGCTCTGTAGTCCAGCAGGGACCTGGTGCCTAGCAATCTAATCATTCTGTTGCTAGCCCATAACTCAGCTGCTTATTTGCATATCTAAATAGTCATTTAACAGAAATTTCAGGGAAGGTCACTTCTGGGCCAGTGAGATATCCAAGAAAGGATATAGAGTAAGTGCTTTTCATCACAAGTTCCGAGGACTTCAGGCATTTCAGATTTTCATTAACTTTATTGATTCTTTTGTCAATAAAGAAAAGTGATGAGAAATTGTTTTGAAATGGGGTCGGGAGGCAGGGTTTTAAAGATCAAAAACCACAGAAGGAGAATGCACTAAACTCCTGAGGCACCTGTCTTCCTTTCCCCCTTGTCCTTAATACTTAAAGAAAATATAAATCCCTAACCCAGTGCCTGTGATGTAGCTTGGCTGTGGCTGGTGGACAGTGAATGGTGTATGCAGCACAGGAATCGACCCGGCCTCTACTGGAGACCAGCCTGGAACAAATCTTCTGTCAGGAGAAAGTGAAGGATGATACTTTTATCCTCTCTTTATTGTCAGTGTAGATAGACAGAAGTGACCTGAGTAATTCAGGCGGGAGTAAAAGAGGGAGAAAAATCTCCAAATCATGCACATTCGCTTTCAGAAAGTGATGTTTTTATACCTAGGCATGAGTTGTTACAGCCCTGATGTCTCTCTCTGACCTCCAGACATATAAATATAACTGTTCATAGGACATATCTGCTGAAACTTTCATAAACCTCTCAAACCCAGCGCATCCAAAGTGGAACTCACTATCCGCCCCTCCTCCCCCACTCAGCTTTTTAATTCTTGACTTTAGGCAGCCACTCTGGCGGGACAGTTAGCTGCAAGGTGCAGGGGCCATGCTAGAACCTGGCAATGTGTGTGGTGGGACAGAGCAGCATGGAGTAGGGGTATGCCAGGCTGCCCCTGTTCCTTCCTATGAGGGCTTCTCTCTCCTATTAGTGTGGTAGGGAGTGGATTAGGCTTCCCAGTTTGTCCCTACAGCGTCTGTCCATAAAGCAAGCATGGGGCTGCTTTGAGGCTTTCCAAAGGTTTTCTAAGGGCAGGAACTGCAGAGAATAAACAGTTTACTCCCTATCTCCCTAATTCCCTTACTCATTTTCTCTTTTCCACTTTGGCTCTGAAGAAGACTCAGAGGTGGGTCTTTATTGCTACAAGTGAGGGATCTCCTGAGCCACCTGATGGTGGCCTGCCCCAGTGCTATGAGTGATGTTTGGGTCTCACCAGCAAGAGGACTGTTTCTTCCCTTTCAATAGCTTTGACCGTTTTGTCCTGCTGAACTCCTAACTTTTCTGATTACTCTACATCTTCTTTTCCCCTCTAGATGTTCGACTGGATAAGCCACAACAAGGAGTTGTTTCTCCAGAGCCACACGGAGATCGGAGTCAGCTACCAGCATGCCCTAGACCTCCAGACGCAGCACAATCACTTCGCCATGAACTCCATGGTGAGCAAGGGGGCTGTTCTCAGCCTGCCTTTGGGGTGCTGGAGCAGATCTGGATAAAGAAGGAGGAGCTTTGAATTGAGGGACTCTCCAGCGGTCCACTCGTGAGGATGGAGATGTGTGTAAGGCGTGTGACCAGCCAGCTCTTCCTGGAGCAGAATATAGAGCTGACATTACATTATGAAAGGAATGTGCTTGAGGTCGTGGGAGGCATTAGCTCAGCATAAGACTGGAAGAAGGCGAGTCACCAGTTCCACTCTGCTGACTTCGCTGACATTTATTGGTCCCCAGCATGTGTAAGTTACTGAGCTGTGATGGCGAAAGGCTGTGCATAGGAAAGGGTTGAGTAAGTTGCGGCTGTTTACAGTGGGAAGTTTGACACATGACTGCTGCCTTCAAATATTCCAAGACCGCTTTGGAGAGAAGAGAGTAGTGCATGATGGTCTAGGAGGCAGGGACATCCAGGGCATGGCTGTTTGAGGAGGAGGCAGTGTGGGGCTCCTTGGGCCAGAGTGGGAGGCAGTGAGAGTTAAGGAGCTCTCTGTGATGGGAAGTGTTTGATCCTCTGCAGAATTTAGAGAAGGCCATTGACTAGCTGTGTGGCAATAGGGAACCTACCTCTTTGTACTTCAGCTCCTTATCTGTGAAATATAAACAATAGTAGCTATCTTAGAAGGTTGTTTGGAGTTAATTGTAAAGTAGTTAGGCTTGTGCCTGGCACATGATAAGTCACAGTAAATGCTGGTATTATGATGCTGATGAGGATGTAGGAGTCTAGTCTGCATGACATGGGTGAAGCCTCATAAACTTAATACTTCCAGGTACTGTTTTTTCCACATGGATGCCCCCACGGCTTTATTTTGAAATCCTGTCTGCTCTTAAAGCCATTGTATTACAATGCCTGCAGCCTAAATGTTCCTGGATGTACCCACCAACCTCCCCCTGCCATCTCTTCCATCTTGTTCTTTTGGTGCAAAAGAATAGCTCCATCATTCCCCATGTATCTGAAAATCCAAGACACCTTATCGTTGCATCACCAATGTGGATCAGGTGTTAAACACAAACCCAGAGGGTTGCAGAGGCCAAGAAGGAAGAAAACTCCATTTTCTACCAGGTTCATTTAAATATGCCCTGGACTTCACACACTGCTGAAGAAATAATTCTAGCCTTGTTTTCAGTGTCTAGTTGGAGAGAGAAAAATCCAGGCAATCATGATGTAGTTTGATATGTGCAATGATAAAATTATGCTGTTAATTAAGAAACTTAAAATCTCAGCAGTTGAAACCAAAAGAGGTTGATTTCTTGCTTCTATCACACAACCATCACGAGCCAATGAGAGGTCTGCTCATCACAGTCACCCAGGGACAGGGCCTGATGGAGCAGCCACCATTTCCGATGCTGCCATTTGCTTTGCCAGACAAAGCATGGAGCCAAGCATTGCAGGTTTTGAAATCATCCTCTTAGAAGTGACACATCTGCTCACATTCCACTGGCTTTCATGCACATTTCATTGGCCAATGCCAATCACACCACTACATCTAACTCCAAGTGGCTAGGAAAATACAGTCCACTCCATATTGGCAAGGAGAGCTCAGTATAGTTATGAACAGCTCTAATGACTAGCATCGCCACAAAAGGTGTTAGGTAGAGATGAACATCATGGGATTTGCACAGAAAGATCACTCTGGCTGCGGAAAAGATTGAGACTAGACAGGGAAATTATAGATATTGTGTTATCCGTTTTGGCCACAGTAGTCTTGTGTCTTCATCTAAGTATAGAGACTCATTACCTTCCAACTAGTTTCCTATAATTATTTCTCGTTTTTGGATCTCTTCAGTCACAGGGGAGAAAAACCATTGATCACAGGTGATTAAGAAAGTGAACTCAAAGCTAGTCAAATTTGATTATTTGTATGCCTTGTAGATTTCCCCTGATGAGTTTCACAAATTCTGTGCCAGAATCTTCACATCACCCAACTGCCTAAGGCAAACAAACTCATTTTAATAAGTAACAAAGCAAACATAGTTAGGGAGGTAAGTCTGCCCCCAAGCCCCTTGAAACAATGTACTACAGAGCTAAGTGGGAAGAGCCTTGGCTTTGAATTATCTGCTCTCTTCTGCTAGGATGGATAATTCAGAGTCAGTGGAACATTGGAAATATTTGCTTTGACAAATTTACTGTTACCACTTCCATTTTTATGACAAAAATGAGGGAAGAGGGAAGAAATTTGTCGGAAGGAAGTATCTTCTGGAACTAATGGCAAAAGATCTAATACTCAACAGCCAATTAGCACGTTCTAGACAATCCTGGAGCTTCCCTCCATCATGAATGCACCAGTACTCAGAGGCCTCTTCAAGCTGGCTGGGCTTGTTCTCCTCTCCAGCTGTAGGGCAAGTGAAGGGAAACCCCATGGTTGTTTGAGGAAATTGCCTGGGCACCTCTGTTTCATAAACATAGCTCAGTGCCTTTGTTAACTGGGAAGTTTACGGGTTTGTGGTTAAAATGAACTTCCTACAAAGAGGGATGGCAGCATCCCAAACAGGTGAAAGGAGGGAATGACAATCTCCTTTTCCCTGGCCTGAATGATGAATGTTGCTGCCAAGAAACATGAATGTGAGCAGCTACTGCTCAAGCCCAGTGACTACAGGAATGATCAGTTCTTTAGGGAAGGTTGGGGTGTCCATGGTTCTGCAAACTCATTGAGGCATTTCTGTCCCTATTCTTGGAATTTATACACACACATTTACATAAACCCACACAGCTGTACACATAAATAGACATGTAGCATGCTTTGTTTCAGATGATTTCCTTTCTTGAATCTTGCTCTGTGGCTGAAATAGGTACGTGATTTCTTATTTTGTGGGGGGGGGAGTCACACTCCCCTTTGACATCTAATGTTGAGGGTTCTCTCCTCAGATAAACATATACATGAACAAAATCATTTTAGAAGCTTTTAAGAAATAAAAAGGAATAATAAGACCTACCAGTCAGTTTTCCCAATTTAATATCTCAACAACCTCATGACTTCTTTTTTTGCTTATTGGACAAATAATTAAGGGTCAGACAAATTGTGCGGGATGTCTGGCATAAGGTGGTGAACGAAACAGAAGATTTTGTCCCATGGAGTGTTCATAGAGAGGAAGATGTTATATATATAATCTCATAAATAAATGCATATTTACAAACCAGTAGTCTTATGTCAGAAGAGTAGGAAAGGTTGTGACAGAGGGTAAAAAAACGGCCAATGCTGACCAGGGGGCAGGATTGGGTACCTTTTTCAGTTAGCAATCAGCACTGAGGAATGCTCATTGTTCATTCATTGATACTGATGAACAATATGTGAATCAACTCTATTGTACCAAAGGACTTAGAATTTAAATATATCCTGGGAATACCAATTTGTAAATTAAAATGATCAGCTTACAACTTACCTATTTTAAAAAATATTTATTTAGTTGTAGATAGACATAATATCTTTATTTATTCATTTTTATGTGGTGCTGAGGATCGAACCCAGTGCCTCACATGTGCAAGGCAGACGTTCTACCACTGAGCTATAGCCCCAGCCCCTTACCTATTTTTTTAAGTTTTGTTTTTCTGTGTTCAGTGTTTATAGACTGGTTAAAGATCCAACTCTACCTAAGATCATCACTAAATGCATTATTCTGTTAGGGCTGCTGAACAAAATACCACAGTCTTAAACAACATAAATTTATTTTCTTACAGTTTTGGATTCTTGAAACCCAGGATCAAAGCATTGGCAGGTTTGGGTTTTCTAGAAGCCTCTCTCTGGCTTGCAGATGGTGGCCTTCTCACTACATGGCCTTTTCCCTGTGAGCTCGCACACCCCTAGTGTCTCTCTGTGTGTCCTAATTGCCTCATGTTATAAGGATGCCAGTCAGATTGGATCAGGGACCACCCTAAAGGCTCCATTTTAACTTAATTACCTCTTTAAAGACTCTATTTCCAAGTGTAGTCACATTTTGAGGTACTGGAGATTAAAGGTTCAACATATGATTTGGGGTTGAGAGTACAGTTCAGCCCATAACACAGAGAAATAATTGTATGCCATTAAAATTATGGAAGAAAATCAGAAATTTTCCAAGTTTTATTTATGATTGAATACAACAAAGCCCACCAACTCTTAATCTACTGATAGTAGATTAAGGAAGTGCTCTCAAAAATGCCCATAGGGATGATCTAGTGAAAGGCAAAGTGGGAGTGATACCCTGTTCTGTTAGGACTGCTGAACAAAATACCTGTTTGGTATGTACATAAACAAATCTGGAAGAAACAAGTTAAAATTGGTTGATCTTTAGATTTTTGTCGTAATGTGGTTTTTTTTTTTTTTTTGTAGTTCCCATTGAGAAATCCTATTTTTTAATTAACAACAATAATAATAATTAATAATAATGATACCCACCTAGTAAACCAGTAGAAAATATCCTCTAGCTTCCTTCAGTGCCTCGGATAGACAGGTTTCCTCAGTACTCTAGGGCCCTCATCTTTCTTAATTCTGCCTTCAGCTGTGGAAGTCTTTTTCTTAAATTCTTCCCCTGAGTGTGACCATTTCCTCTGAGTGTGAGCAGACTAAAGTAAGTCGGGTTTTAGTAAGTATAGAATAGTTAGGTTCAGGTTCTTCATGAGAAAGACAGGAGTATGTACAAACAGCACAGCCTTATTTACAATTTTAATTAGCTGGTTCTTTGGGAAAAAATAAATTGCTAATGGCTCCTGACTAGAGTTTTAAAATATGAAATGGTATTCATTTTCTGTTATTACAACTGTGAGGACTCACATTAGGGATGACAATGTGCAGCTGGGCAGTGGGGATCCTTTCTGCTGTGGCATGCTTGATAGCTGTTTTAATCCTATTAATTTGTTCACCAGAGGCATATATTGGCTCTTGATGATGTGCAAATCAGACCAATTCCAACAAAGACTGTAATGTTCTCTCTCTGTTTTGAGGGAAGGTTACAAATGGCAGCACCAAGGAAAAGTC